GGTTCACCTTATGGCCTAAAACGACCTATTTTGGATTCAAAACGGCGAATTTCGCCGAAAGGTGACAAGTGTGCATCCCTTTAGAAAAATATAAAAAACATTTGATTTTGCTGAAATGTATTTATACTATGCAATTCACATCATGAGAACATCTTGTTAAAATGATAAATCCTACACATGTTGAACATTTCCTCTCCATGCTTCCTCTTTTTAAATCAGCACAGCTCTCCACTTTAAGTGTTACAGCGATGTTTGTCTCATTTGTTTCATATCAATTTGATCAAGACATTTTCCCACAACAGGTTCAATGTAATAAAGGATATGTTATGTAGGCATTTTAATTCTTAAATGGCTTGAATTGTGTAGCTAGTTCGGTCACATGTGTTAGTCTGGCACATGGACATGTTGTCATGGGAACATAAAGTCACATGACCTAGCCCAGGACTCAGCAGACTGTTCAGTGTGTGTCGGGACTTCATGAGGTAACAACAAGGCTACAGCTGTATAAGGAACCTTCCAGAACATTTAAAGTTCATGTGACACTCGATGGGTTAAGTTAAGGTGTGTAACTAGAATAAGAAATACTTAAGTAAAAGTAATCAAGCACAAACAGGAACATGTACTTAAAGTACTAGGTGGAAAAGTGCTTATTCTTTCCACCTCTGTATATCACCAAGACTACCTTTTGCTCAAGACCAGAATACACGTATTACTGCATGTAGTTTATTTGATAACCAATTGATTTTCCTTCGTGTATATCAAAGATATTTTACATTGAAGTTGTTTTAAGTGAACACGAGCTGTGCTTCTGTTATCTCTGAAGTAAGACAGACACACAGATGGTAAACCAGATCTGTGTTTGAATGAGCTTTAGGTCATACATATCAACTTTAGTATTAAGGTGATGTTAAACTACTAAACCCTGAACAACGAGGTGATCTGTATGAATGTTTGATCCGTTTCTGGACGTTTTCCGGTGTTTTTGACCTTCTAGAATCGCCTCTATATTCTAAACACTTCCTTACACCATGAATAAAACAACAGCTGAATGAGACACTCACCTTCTTGCTCTCCTGCTCTTCTTCCGCCATTGCCCCGCTGTGTGTGTCTGATTTTAACACGTTTACAGTAAATATGTATCCAGCAAAACTCAGAAAACCTTCAGGTAAAAAGCATTTTTCGTAACACATTGGTCACCACGCATGCGCAGTGCATACCACATCGGTCCGTCCGCTTTTATGTCCGACTCAAAATGACGAATGATTAGTTCCGGATTTGAAAGCTTCGTCTAAACTTTGAATTTCTTTAAGAGAAATGTATATTAAATAACAGGAAATGTTTTAGTTATTATGTTTTCTAGACGGTAGTGACGTCCTATGTCTGTATTGTGTACTTTCTTCCCATTTATTTCGTGTTTTGTATGTGTGTATTTCTTATTTTTTTGTTTGTTGTCCGGATTTTATAGGGTTATTCTAATCTTACATACAAATAAACTAAATAACAAACAATAAAAGCAGTTCAGCATTTGCCAGACAACAATAGTTTCCTTGTGTCTGTATACCTTATTCATTTTCCATTTGTTTTAGTTTTTTGGTGTGTAAATGTCATCTTTTTCATTTATTTTTCTTATTCAATTCAAACAGTTTGATTCACAGCTTGCATTTCCACCTTGGGAAGTGAAACACTGTGACAACACACATGGTAAACACGCGAGCATGTAGCAAGTACTCAGTCTCAGTGAGGTAAAGTGGAGGTTAAGATATATCAAACTAACTTTAATCAATTGCAGGTAAATATGAAATATATTTTGAATTGTAAGTAGCCTACATACGACGCATGAATGCATGGTCACATCACAGAGGAAATTAACCCTTTAAACCAAAAAAAAGGGACATTTTTGGATTTCCATCTTCCCTAATCATCCTGTGTCATCTTAATGCATTACAAACAACAACCTTAAAAGCTAGCAACGATGTATCCAGCAGGGGTAGATCCCTTAGGCCAAGGGTTCCCAAACCAAGGACCCCCATAGCATGATCCTCTGGCGGGGACCCCCCTGTTGCAATTTTTTTTAAATGATGAGTACATTATGATGGAAAATATGACAAATTAATCATACAGCTTAATACATTTTCTTAATATATATATTTGTATTAAGAATTAATAATCAGTTATTCTTCTAAAAAAAAGTTGTATTTATCTTTTGTTTGTCATTCATTACATTCATTGTGTCTTCTGTTATAAACATTCTTAACACAATATTAAACAGTAATATCAACAGTAAACATATTTTTAAAGCATTTTTAAAGTGATTTCTGTCTTTATAATATTAAATAATCTTGAACAGTAATATGAACAATTAACTTATATTTTTAGCATTTTTGAAAGCTACTTATGCCTTAATAATATTATATATAATATTCAACAGTAATATTAACAATAAACATATTTATATTCATACAAACATCAATATTTGCTACACCCGTGCTCTCATCCGGCTGCAGAGCGAAACATTCACTAGCTCTCACTTGCTCCAAAAGCTGAGCAGATGCTCAGTTTCACTCTCAGAAGCGGCAGCTCGATTCTGATTGGCTTGAAGGCGGTCGTGTGATTTAAAAACAAACAAATAAAATATTAATAAATAAAAAATATTAAAATGTTGGCATCGAAGGACATAGATTGATAGATATGCAGTTATTAATAACATCAACAAAAAGAAAAACATTTCCCCTTTCCCTCAAACTTTGCGTTACCCCCCGGGGGGCCGCCAGGGGCCCCCACTTTGAAAAACACTGCCTTAGGCAACAGATGTAAGTCAGTAACAGGGTTATTGGACGTCTATATTTGATACGTCTTCTAAGAGTGAAATGTACCCCTCGACCAAAACATTTATCTCAACCTTTGTATGTGTTTTTTTTTGTTGTTGTTTAGTTTTTTGTGCTGTGATTTCAGCCATATGTTTGTCTATCATTTTAAATGTGTTTGTACTATTCATCTTGTCTTATTCTGTAGGGGGGGGGGGTTAAGAAATGGACAACCTGCACACCTGTTTTTTTTGTCTTTGACACTGTATGGGTTGTTGAAGAAAAAATGAAAATCAAGTGTTAGAAAAATCTCACTCATCACCGTCTTGATCTTCAATCTCAGGATGCATGTATTTATGATCCTCTCAAGAATGGAAGTAGTCATCACATACAGAGCATCAACTAGTTCCTGAACAGTGTCCTTCACATGCACGTCATCTCACGCCTAGACATGCAACTCCCTCCTGGCTGGTCTACCTGCATGTGCCATCCGACCTCTGCAGCTCATCCAGAATGCAGCGGCTCGTCTGGTCTTCAACCTTCCTAAATTCTCCCACACCACTCCGCTCCTCCGCTCCCTTCACTGGCTTCCGGTAACTGCTAGAATCCACTTCAAGACAATGGTACTTGCGTACCATGCTGCGAATGGATCTGGCCCTTCCTACATCCAGGATATGGTTAAACCGTACACCCCAGCACGTGCACTCTGCTCTGCATCAACCAAACGGCTCGCTGCACCCTCGCTGCGAGGGGGACCCAAGTTCCCATCGGCAAAAACACGTGGGTTTGCTATCCTGGCTCCAAGATGGTAGAATGAGCTCCCCATTGACATCAGGACAGCAGATAGCTTGCACACCTTCCAGACTGAAAACTCATCTCTTTCGACTCCACTTCGAGCGATAGAACTATTAACAAAGCACTTATATACTAATAAAGGGCTGGCTTACCTAAAGCCAGTTGAGTAGCACTTGAAATGTTTTTGCTCTATGAAACCTGATGTACTTTATGATTCTGTTTTCCTCAAGTTTGTATTTTGTTGGTCGAACGCACTTATTGTAAGTCGCTTTGGATAAAAGCGTCAGCTAAATGTAATGTTATGTAATATCCAAGAGAGGGAGTTACACAGTCACAAGATGGAGGAATAGAAAGCAGTATTCAATGTTTACTTCAGATTAGCTCCACGTCAGAAATGAGCATGCTTGATGTCTCTCTCCATAGAGGCTGAATCATCATGTTAATCACATAGCTATCATCTGCCTCAAACAGTCCTGATGCTCTTCTAGGTAATCACACATCCTGTCACGTTCACAGCTACAGTTGGGATACCTTTGTTATCACGTTACTCTCATGTTGGAAGAGGACACTCAGTATTTACCCGACATAAAGTAAAAAAACGACAACCTTGATACTCTGAACAACAGGATCACTGAACAGGAGGAAGTGAGTGTGTCACGTTGACCATCAGATTAAACCTGACATCCTGAACACAGGTAACCAGGTGATGACGTCCGATATGATCCACTTGCATCCTGGATACAGAGTCTTTTCTGTGGTATAAAACCCCAGCAGGAGAGCCAGCATCAGAACCGCCTGCAGACACACACAGGTGAGTCTTTGACAACAAGAACCAGCTTTTAAATACAATTATCTGGATGAGGTTTTATGTATTTCTCTTTGATTTAGAAGAGGAGAAAGTGGGATAAATCCTGCAGGCATTAGTAAGAGTCATTCATCTTTCTTTAAATGATTACAGTGTTGAGAAATAGTCGTTATAGCAGGTATTGCATAGGATATACTTAAAAAAGTCGATACTGAAACTTAATCAGTGAGTTACTTCAGGGGAAAAAGGTACATTATATCAACATGATATCACTTAAACTAAGGCGAATGTATTTTTGTTTTAAATGTTATTAATATGTTATGTTTAAATGTGAAAGTGGGTAATTCTGTGCTGCCTTTTATGGTGAATTTAGGAGAAATCTAATTTATTAAAAATAAACATCTAGGCGTTTATTTTGACGTTTTCTTTCCCCTGTTCTGATCGAAGATATGAAATGGATTCACAAGAGCCCAAACTCTCAAAATGTAGAAGTGCATCCCGTCTAGTAGACACTTTAATAATGCTTTAAGGATGCCAGGTTGTTATTTTTATGGATGCCAGGTTGTGTGTTTTCACCCTTAACGGACTGCAGGACGATGGCTGTTCAGCTCCGAGGAGTGAAGTTCTCCTTCTTGCTGAGTCTGTTTTTGGGAGCTGACATTTGGCCCCCGGCTCCTGCAGGTAACTACAACTCATTTTAATTACTTTTATAATATTATATGATACTGTGAGTGTCTTTTGAAAGTCCCTCTGAGTTGCTCACTCTGGGCTTTGAGCAGATGCAATGTTCTATAAAAGAAAATAGCACCAACAATAGTTTGTGAAGCGAATACATTTTTATTTTGTTCTTTAGGCAAGGCAAGTTTATTTATATAGCACCTTTCAACACAAGGCCATTCAAAGTGCTTTACAACAATGAAAGGCATTCAGACAAAGGCATTTAAAAACAGTAAAAGAAAATAAAAGAAACATTAAAAGAAAAAATACATGAATAAAAAGTATGAATAAAAAGTTACAGTGCAGTTTAAGATATGAATAGTTCACACAGAAGCTCCACTTTACTGATGAACACAACGGCTCAGTTTCAATTAAAAGCAGCGACAAAAAGAAAAGTCTTCAGCCTGGATTTAAAAGTAGTCAGAGTTGTAGCGGACCTGCAGGTTTCTGGGAGTTTGTTCCAGATATTTGGAGCATAATAACTGAACGCTGCTTCTCCATGTTTAGTTCTGACTCTGGGGACAGAAAAAGGACTTATCGCTCTTTGGATAGAAGCGCCAGTTCAATGCAAAGTACTATAATGTCATAATGATATGGATAATGATAGGAACATTTAGCAGGCCCGGCTCCAGGATGAAATGACTGAGGGGGCTGTTCAAAAATCAGAGGGGGCGATTTTTTTTTCACAAAAACGAAAAATACTGGCAATGTAATGAATTGACCCACCGAGCTTTTTTCCTTCTCACTGCTCTACAATCTCTTTGCTTCTTTATTGTTATTCCGGATTGACCCCTCTCGCTCTGTTCTTTTCCTCTGATCTTTAATAACAGTATCAGATGGCTGCACTTTGGTTAACAGACTGACATTGATCTCCTCAATGTATAAATTGACAGGCTCTGTAATTATACCATATATTTTCTCCTCTATCCCTTAACTCGTCTTCCTATACAGATTTACTTACTTACTTTCTACTCTAGTCCTGTCAAGATTAAAGAAAGAATGTCTGGTTGACTTTTTATTTTCAGGGTTGAATGTTCAAACCAAGGCCTAAAACCTGGCATTTCATAACCCTAACCCCCCTACCCAGGAAGAGTAAACAGGTATGGGTTAGGGTTAAAGATGCATTGGGCAGAACTACTTATATTCCCAAATCCCCTATCCAGCCGACAAGGCCTCCGCCCTCCAGTACCTGCCGTTCTAGTAAATGGTGTTTATGACTGTCCCCCCTTAACCTCACTTACCCCCCCCCCCCCCAACTACACAGGAAGAGTAAACTGGTATGGCTCTAACCTTTCCTTCCCCTCTCACCTAATCCTAATTTTCCAAACTTCAAATCCCTCCAACCTAACCCCTCCCCCTTCTCTCTATCCTAACCCTAACCACTCCCTACCTCAAACCCCTTTAACCTCACTCCTATCTTCTTTCCTAACCATATTAACTATTCCCTTCCCTTATATCTAAACCTTCACTCTTCCCTCCCTTCAATTTAACCCTTCCCCCCATCCTAACACTCCCCACCTTCTTACCTAATCCAAACCTTCTTCCCTCCTGAACCTAACCCTTAAAAACCTCTCCTACCCCTCACTATTATTTTATCATTTCCAATCAGTACTCTCTTTTTCTCCATTTCCTTATTGAATCCCCATCTTTTCCTTCCCTCCCTTATGATAGTTGTTGTATTCACGTGTCCATAACCATGCCACATTATCCTAAATAAGGTAAAATACTCTCTAAGAACAGCATTGGTTTTATTCAATTAACCAAGATATGAAACATGTGCCCGTGCCTCTCCCCTGCCACCACAAGATGGTGACAGGTGACCTCTATTTCCTTACCTAACCCTAACCCTAAACCCTACGTGAGTAATATATAAACCAAATGTAATATTGGATAAAATACTTCATTAAGAGCAAAACAACCAGATTCTGCAATAGCTTTTCCCCCCATGCCATCAGACTGCTGAACAGCAAGTAGACCAGTAACATAAAGATTACATTACGCTGTGTAAAGAGCACATATTTTTTATATAGTATGTCTATTTTATTTATATGTATAGTAAGTCTTTATATTTTAAACGCACACTTTATCTTTAATTTAATCTGCACCACGTCACTATTATTTATTTATATGTACAATTTTAGCAAGTTTTTATATTGTCCTGTTCCTGTCAGCCAGTACAACGACATTTCGTTTTAATAGTACACTCTGTGTCTTGTTGAAATGACAATAAAGTATGTCTATGTCTATGTCTATGTCAAATGGACACAGATTCAAAATAAAAATAAAGTCCCCTGGTTTGTCTCTAGAGTCTAACTGCCATGAGAAAAATCAAATCAATGTTCCAAAATCCGTCACTAGATGTCGCTCATTGTACCAATACGGTTTATATAATACATAACATATTATTATTATCGTAAAAGGGCTCGCTTTTGCAACAACCTGATCCATACAGGCAGCCCTAAATAACAACAAGTAACCACCATGTGTGGTGCTGTCTGTAGTTGTCTGTCTTGTGTTTTGTTGATTTATCAAAATCTCAAAATTCTGACATTTTTTTCTCAAAATTCAGACTTTTTCTGAATACTTAAAAATGTTAATAATCACTCGTCACTGGCATGAGCTTCAATCTCAGGATCCATGTATCTGTGATCCTCTCCAGAATGGAAGTAGTCATCACATACAGAGCATCTATGGGGGTTATTCCCTATCTTTATTCAAGAGCGTGGTATTTCAATTTGAGAGCATACTTTATTGATCTATTTCCCTCAAACCCTGTCCTCGCACTCACATAGTGCCTGCTCGCACTTAGATGTGCTCTGCTTCTGCTCAAACTGTACGCTTGCACTCAGATATATGCTTACAGATTTTCTGTTCCAGTTTAAAACCTTCTCCTCGCACTCAGGCTGTGACTGTCACTGTGCGCTCGTGAAATGTCTGCTCTCAGATTTATTCTGTGCACGCTCGGATCTTTTGTGCAACAACCGGTGGCAGCGCCAGGGTATGGCTGGGGTAGGCTACAGCCATACCAAGAAATGGCTTAGCCCCACCATGAACAATGATGTTAAAGTAAGCAAATTCAATTACAAAATAAGCAAAATATACGGGTCCTGTCCACAACACACAAAGTGCTCCTGCTGTAACAACAAGTGCACGTTACTGATGCAATATGGTTGAGACCATTCAGGGTTATGCTAGAAGAGGGGTGCAAGGAATAGTCTAAGTAGTGGGGGAGTTTTATTCACTAAAGGTGTGAAAATGCTCTGGCGTTATAATATCAGCGCGGCTGCGGTCAGATCAAAATGCCTCCGAATACAATTTGAATAGACCTACAACGAAACGTTGGGTCTGCGTCATGCCTTACTGATTGAGATCAATCGGAACCGCCATTCAGTATCCCCATTGGATCTTCAACGTGCACTATCATACGTCACGTTCACAGGGATCCCTTTTTATTCACTTCAAGACAAATGTGCCGTTTTATTTCATACAGTTCCATTTTGATTGAGACAATCTAAACCTCACGCGTGGCGTTTCACTGTCAAGGGGGGCGATATAGCGTGTATGTAATTACATTGCAAATACTGACTTGAGCCCCACCGCTGTATGGGTTAGCCCTACCAGAGATTACCCTACACAAACACTCTGGCGCCGCCACTGGCAACAACCCTGTCAAAATCCCTCAACCAATAGGAGGCCAGGTGTCCTTGCGGCGCACGGAAACAGCCTGAGTGCGAGGAGAAGGTTTTAAACTGGAACACAGGAAATCTGTAAGCAGCAATATATTTGAGTGCAAGCGTACAGTTTGAGCAGAAGCAGAGCACATCTAAGTGCAAGCAGGCACTATTTGAGTGTGAGGACAGGGTTTGAGGGAAATAAAAACATATTCTGAATGTGAGATCAATAAAGTATGCTCTCAAATGTAAAGACCACGCTCTTGAATAAAGATAGGGAATAACCCCCAACTAGTTCCTGAACAGTGTCCTTCACATGCTGATATCCAAGAGAGGGAGTTACACAGTCACAAGATGGAGGAATAGAAAGCAGTATTCAATGTTTACTTCAGATTAGCTCCACGTCAGAAATGAGCATGCTTGATGTCTATCTCCATAGAGGCTGAATCATCATGTTAATCACATAGCTATAATCTGCCTCAAACAGTCCTGATGCTCTTCTAGGTAATCACACATCCTGTCACGTTCACAGCTACAGTTGATACCTTTGTTATCACGTGACTCTCATGTTGGAAGAGGACACTCAGGATTTTCCCAACAAACCTCTCCCTCCTCAGTTGCCTTCCAGCTGCCTCTCTGTCAGCTGGTGAATCAGACGGTTTCTCTGGAGAAGGACGGCTGTCCGAAGTGTCATCAAGTGGAGACGACCATCTGCAGCGGATACTGCTCCACCAAGGTACTGTGGGAATAGTGGGATAAAGTTTCATGGGAGTAATCATCAACATCCCCTGTCTCTGATCAAATCAAGTTTTATTTATATAGCACATTTATAAACGATTTTTGGTGGAGCCAAAGTGCTGTACATATAATAAAAACAGCCTACAGTAGAGACACTTTACAGCAAATACAACAGCAGATTGTTCAGAATATCAGTATGAGAAAAAAAAAACGACACCCTCTGTCCTTAGACCCTCTGTCCTTAGACCCTCTGTCCTTAGACCCTCTGTCCTTAGACCCTCTGTCCTTAGACCCTCTGTCCTTAGACCCTCACATCGTACAAGGAAAAACTTCCAGAGAAAACCCACAGTTTAAGGGAACATGGGAGAAACCTCAGGGAGAGCAACAGAGGAGGGATCCCTCTCCCAGGACGGACAGACGTGCAATAGATGCCGTGCGTAAATCGAAGAGATAATACATTTGCAACATAGGTAGACCAAATGTTTGGAAATGCATGTGTGTATAATAGGAAGATGAATCAAAGTTCAAAGAGACTGTATACAACGTGAGACATTAGTGCAGGGGTATCAAACTCAGCCCGAGACTTCATTTCATGTGGCCGGCAAGAGCTCTGAAAGAATATAATACGTTTATTATACGGTTACATGCCGCTTTACAAAAGCACGTTGCCCATAAACGACATGTCCCACAATGCATCTCATTTTGTGACATGCGCACTGAAGAGACTTGCAATTATTTGCCCGAGACTTTTGCCTTCAGGCGTAGTTAATTGTGAAGTTATTACCCTATCCGATAATAATCAATAATGTGATATAATACATTATTTTATATATATTTATATATGTGTATATTTATATAGTCTTAAAGTTACAACCGGCTAATGTGGCCCGTGATGAAATTGAGTTTGACCAGTGGCGTTTTTGTACAAAAGTGGTGGGGCACGAAACACTTAGATGTTTACATACAAGCTTCTGGTGCTTTTTTAAACACGTAAACAAATAGCTGGCTAGCCTTGGTTCCGATAGGGGGGGGGGGGGGGGGGGTGGTGTCGCTCTAATGCAGGGGTGTCAAACTCAAATACAAAGTGGGCCAACATTTAAAAATGGGTAGTAGTCGAGGGCCGGACTGGTTCAATGTTTATTGCAAAACATATTTTAACGAACTTATTACATTACATGTCAATTGTTAGACGGTTTTATCCAAAGCGACTTACATACATTCGGTACTGTGGACAATCCCCACAGGAGCAATTTGTGGTGAAGTGTCTTGCCCAGGGTTAGGGTTAGCTTTTCCTCAGTCATTTCTTATGATTACATTTTTCAAAAAAAACAAATAATTTCCCTCAAAGAAAAACCAAACATGCCCTGTTGTCTCAAGAAAAAAAGTGCAGATGGAAGCATCCATTGAACTCAGTGTGCTGCTCTGTGATGCTAGTTCAGATACTTGGCGTCTCATCTTGGGTGCAAGGTCATCAATGTTTGGGCTCAGGCTCTGAGCGGAGGAGACCCTCAGGATGGAGTGAAGGTGTGCGTGCAATATACCGGAGGGCTAGATCTAATAGGAATTAGAAATTATCCTGCGGGCCGAAATCAAATCCACCAAGGGCCGGATTTGGACCCCGGGCCTTGAGTTTGACACATGTGCTCTAATGGGACTCCTTGATAGTTGAACATCGACGCTAAAGGGCCCCCCACTGCGTTGATAGTGAAGCCAAGGTATCCTGACATATAGGACGAGTTGGGAGTGAGAATGTGTAGTACATGATATACATTTGCTTGACAAAAATGTGTGTTATAGTGAAGTAAAAGTCGTGATAGAGGCTTGCTTGTCAACATCCAGGTATTTCTGCACTGGTGGGCCATGTTAACAATATCATGTCACAATATCAATCGATCCAGCAGAGCAATAGCCAATAGGCAAAACACAGAAGATCAACAACATTTGACATAAAATGAACTTACCAAAGCTGAAGTAGACGGTCAACCTCATTCATTTTCTTTCCATTTTACTGAATGTAATCGCTGTACGCTGCTCTCTCTCGTCTCCTCTTCACACACTACACTTTTCGTGGCACACGTACTTACAGCCAATCAGCTCTCTGAATTATGTGAGATGACGTATGGTGGGTATGGCAGCACAGTGCCCCTATGGTGATTCTTTTTTTGCCACACACATTGAATAGAAAAATACTCTGAGCATGCGCAGTGTAGTTTTTACAGCACCCATTCATTTTGACAACAGAGAGAGGGGCTAGATCGGGGCTTGCCCCACATCGCTCACGGCTCAATAGGCACACTGTAGACACTAATTAGAATAACACAGACTAAAACAGCAATGTACAGACGAATCAGGTGATTAATCATGATCTTAGAATATATTTTAAGATGTATTTTTTTGCATTTTAAAATAATAATAATTTTAACTACTTACTGCTGACACTAGGTGGGGCTGTGCCACTGAGTTTGACACCCCTGCATTAGAGGCTCTATTGAAACCAATACAGATATACATATCGGCAGAAGGAGATAAACAACACGTGCAAAACAGTGAATATATTCGGAAAATGTTCGGATGTGTAATAGATCATTTGTTTATATATAATTTGTAAGTCAATAATATTTGTGTTTATCAATTTGATACTGCTTAAGTTTGTACAGTAAATCAAACATATATAATGATGTCATATATGCCCCACCCCCAGGACCCTGTCATCAAGTCCCTGCTCAGCAAAGTGTACCAGCATGTGTGCACGTACCAGGACTACCACTACATGACCTTTGACCTCCCTGACTGCCCCCCCGGCATCGACCCGACCGTCTCCTACCCGGTCGCTCTGAGCTGCCACTGCGGCCGCTGCAGCATGGAGACGTCCGACTGCACCTTCGAGGGTCTGAGGCCCAACTTCTGTATGAACGACATCCCTTTCTTCTACTAGAGTCACAAGAACTACATGAACGACGTCCCTTTCTACTAGAGTCACAAGAACTACATGAACGACGTCCCTTTCTACTAGAGTCACAAGAACTACATGAACGACGTCCCTTTCTACTAGAGTCACAAGAACTGCATGAATGACGTCCCTTTCTACTAGAGTCACAAGAACTGCATGAACGACGTCCCTTTCTACTAGAGTCACAAGAACTGCATGAACGACGTCCCTTTCTACTAGAGTCACAAGAACTACATGAACAACATCCCTTTCTACTAGAGTCACAAGAACTACATGAACGACGTCCCTTTCTACTAGAGTCACAAGAACTGCATGAACGACGTCCCTTTCTACTAGAGACACAAGAACTGCATGAACGACGTCCCTTTCTACTAGAGTCCCAAGAACTGCATGAACGACGTCTCTTTCTACTAGAGTCACAAGAACTGCATGAACAACGTCCCTTTCTACTAGAGTCACAAGAACTGCATGAACGACGTCCCTTTCTACGAGAGTCACAAGAACTGCATGAACGACGTCCCTTTCTACTACTAGAGTCACAAGAACTGCATGAACGACGTCCCTTTCTACTAGAGTCACAAGAACTGCATGAACGACGTCCCTTTCTACTAGAGTCACAAGAACTGCATGAACGACGTCCCTTTCTACTAGAGTCACAAGAACTGCATGAACGACGTCCCTTTCTACTAGAGTCACAAGAACTGCATTAACGACGTCCCTTTCTACTACTAGAGTCACAAGAACTGCATGAACGACGTCCCTTTCTACTAGAGTCACAAGAATACATGAACGACGTCCCTTTCTACTAGAGTCACAAGAACTACATGAACGACGTCCCTTTCTACTAGAGTCACAAGAATACATGAACGACGTCCCTTTCTACTAGAGTCACAAGAACTACATGAACGACGTCCCTTTCTACTAGAGTCACAAGAATACATGAACGACGTCCCTTTCTACTAGAGTCACAAGAACTACATGAACGACGTCCCTTTCTACTAGAGTCACAAGAACTGCATGAACGACGTCCCTTTCTACTAGAGTCACAAGAATACATGAACGACGTCCCTTTCTACTAGAGTCACAAGAACTACATGAACGACGTCCCTTTCTACTAGAGTCACAAGAATACATGAACGACGTCCCTTTCTACTAGAGTCACAAGAACTACATGAACGACGTCCCTTTCTACTAGAGTCACAAGAACTACATGAACGACGTCCCTTTCTACTAGAGTCACAAGAATACATGAACGACGTCCCTTTCTACTAGAGTCACAAGAACTGCATGAACGACGTCCCTTTCTACTAGAGTCACAAGAACTACATGAACGACGTCCCTTTCTACTAGAGTCACAAGAATACATGAACGACGTCCCTTTCTACTAGAGTCACAAGAACTACATGAACGACGTCCCTTTCTACTAGAGTCACAAGAACTGCATGAACGACGTCCCTTTCTACTAGAGTCACAAGAACTACATGAACGACGTCCCTTTCTACTAGAGTCACAAGAACTACATGAACGACGTCCCTTTCTACTAGAGTCACAAGAATACATGAACGACGTCCCTTTCTACTAGAGTCACAAGAACTGCATGAACGACGTCCCTTTCTACTAGAGTCACAAGAACTACATGAACGACGTCCCTTTCTACTAGAGTCACAAGAATACATGAACGACGTCCCTTTCTACTAGAGTCACAAGAACTGCATGAACGACGTCCCTTTCTACTAGAGTCACAAGAACTACATGAACGACGTCCCTTTCTACTAGAGTCACAAGAACTACATGAACGACGTCCCTTTCTACTAGAGTCACAAGAATACATGAACGACGTCCCTTTCTACTAGAGTCACAAGAACTACATGAACGACTTCCCTTTCTACTAGAGTCACAAGAATACATGAACGACGTCCCTTTCTACTAGAGTCACAAGAATACATGAACGACGTCCCTTTCTACTACTAGAGACATCAAAACATGCAATAAGCTGAGGAAGAACTGTGTGACTGCATCAACTGTGGTAAATAAAGAGTGTGACCTTTATCAGTGGAAATGTGTATTTTCTGTTTCAAGTTTTAAGGATTAATTGTCATGTGCACATTAGCTTCATTTAAATGTGCATAGTCTGTTACCTAAATTAGATTTTGTCCGTATTTGGGCGAGTTCGACTGATGCTGATGTCATTGTCTTATCAGAAACGTGGCTAGATAAATCCATTTTGGCCTCTGACATTTACATAAATGGTTACAGTGTATATCGTACTGACCGGCCTAAAAAAGGTGGTGGCGTTGCCATTTATGTGAAAAATAAGTTTTGTGTAACTAATATGGTTTCCAAATCTGTTAGTAAACAGCTAGAATTTTTAGCCGTGAATATTGAGGTAACAAAGGGTCAACAGGTCATGGTGGTGGGCTGCTACAGGGCCCCCTCGGCTGTCAAGGACTCTTTATCGTCATTGACAAAACTGTTATCACAACTTTCCTACAAGGAAATAGTGCTGCTTGGTGATTTTAATTGGGACTGGTTAACTTCTGTGTCAGAGGATTTTAAAAACCTGTGTACCTCTTTGAATTTTACCCAGATTATAGACAGTCCTACTCGCCCAAATATTAAGTCCCCAAATAAATCCTCCTTAATTGATCTAATTTTAACAAATGTTCCACATAAATACTCATCTGTGGGAGTATTTGCTAATGATGTGAGTGACCACTGTGTTGTAGCCACAATTAGGGACACTAAGGTCCAAAAGGTTAAACCACGTATCATCACAAAGAGAGACAAAAAACACTTTGTGGAGCAGGGTTTTTTACATGATCTGTTTGATTTTGATTGGAGTAAAATCCATCTGTGTGCTGATGTAGAAACTGCATGGTCTTATTTTTATCTTGGTTTTATGAAAATTACAGATAGACATGCACCTCTGCGTGAATTTAGAGTGAAGGGACGAGACAATCCCTGGTTTTCTGCTGAGCTGTCCAGTCTACTTCATGAGAGAAATAATGCTTGGGCTAAGGCTAGGAGATCAGGCTCAGAGGTAGAATGGCTACGCTTTAGGCAGCTAAGGAATAGCTTCACATCTCAAATAAAAAGTGCTAAATCAAAGTACTATCTGTCAGTAACCACAGAAAACCTGAATAATCCTAGGAAATTTTGGAAAGCCATAAAATCGATTTCCACTGGTGAGATCCGTAATGAGCTACCTCCGTGCCTCACCACAGCATCTGGCTCTATATCAGACAGGGCTACTATGCTAAATTGCTTTAATAAGCATTTTGTGTCTTGTGGCTCTCTGTTTGATTCTGTCACTGACTGTGCTTCTGCTTCTGTGAACACTCCAATCCTTGACTCTGAACAATGTGGTCTGGAAAACCCTTTCAGTTTTACTCCTTTAACTATTGGTATTGTTCATGAAGCATTATCCAAGTTAAATCCTAGGAAACCGGCTGGCCCGGATAACTTAGAACCTTTCTTTTGAAAGTTAGCTGCAGATTGTATTGCTCCACCTCTCACTACTCTTTTTAACCTCTCCCTCAGCACAAATACAATTCCAAAAGTATGGAAGTCTGCTTATGTCTTGCCTTTACTAAAAGGAGGGGAGGCAACAATTTTAAATAACTTTAGGCCAATCTCCAAATTGTCAGTTCTGGCTAAGGTGCTCGAACGACTTGTGAGTGAACAAGTAAAGGAGTTTTTATGTATAAATGACATCCTGTCTAAACATCAGTCAGGCTTCAGAAAGCAACACAGCACCATCACTGCGACAATGAAAGTGGTGAATGACATTACTAGTATTTTAGACAATAAGCAGAGTTGTGCAGCTCTATTTATTGACCTTTCCAAAGCATTTGACACCGTTGATCATCGCATCTTAAAGCAGAGGCTACTCAGTATAGGCATATCCAGCCATGCAGTGGGTGGTTTGTGAACTACCTCTCTGAAAGGTCCCAATGTGTTCACTTTGATGGGCTGTCTTCTGAGTGGTTAAACATTGCTAATGGTGTTCCTCAAGGTTCTGTTTTAGGTCCACTTTTATTCTCTATATATATCAACAGTTTAGGTGAAAATGTGGATGAAGCTACTTTACATTTGTATGCGGATGATACCGTGATGTACTGTGCAGGTCCCTCCATTCAGGAGGCTGCTGTTAAATTACAGGCTGTTTTTAACATTATTCAGACTCAGCTCTCTGAACTAAAGCTTCTTTTAAATGTTGAGAAAACCAAGGTAATGCTCTTTTCTAAAGCTAAAAAGACACCAGAGCCTGTTTTGGATATTGTTACTATGCAAGGACAAGTACTAGAAGTGGTTACCAGTTATAAATACCTAGGTATCTGGCTTGATGATTGTCTTACTTTTAAACTTCATGTCAATAACCTGCTTAAAAAGCTGAGGGTTAGACTAGGTTTCTTCTACAGGAACAAGTCCTGTTTCTCGCTTGAGGCCAGGAAAAGGCTCTGACCTTTTGACCTGTGCTGGACTATGGTGATTTGATCTATATGAATGCACCTGCCTATTGCCTGGACAAGTTAGATGCCGCCTATCACAGTGCCCTGAGATTTGTTACTAACTGTAAAGCACTTACTCATCACTGTACCCTATATGCCAAGGCAGGTCTGCCTTCACTAAATGTACGGAGGCTCAGTCATTGGTACATGTTCATTTACAAAGCCATGTTGGGTAAACTACCTTTTTATATCTGCTCTCTGATCTCTCGACGAATTGAAAGTACATATTGCCTGAGATCTCATGATGTTGTTTTATTAAATGTATCAAGTGCTAGGACTGTCTTAGGGAAGAAAGCTTTTAGTTGTGCAGCTCCACTAAATTGGAACAGTCTGCAAACATGTTTAAAACTGAGCACTTTGGTTCCCCTGCATCATTTTAAAACTCAGCTGGCTGACATGCTGTTTGATATTCATGGTACCTGTCTCTGTAAATAGAGTTTGTAAACTGTACCCTGCACATTATGTTGTATGTCA